TTAGGCCTATGCGGTAATCTACCAACCTTCCTTGCTACTTTCTTATCTGACAGATATTTTCGTGTCCGTGATGGCGCCTCGCTTTCCTCAGACTTTGTTCAGGCCGAAGGAGTCTCTCAAGGTTGTGTCATTAGCACTACCCTTTTTCTCTTGGCTATAAATGACTATAAGTGATAAAAGTTCCCTGATGATTTGAATTCTCACACTGTTGCATGTAACGCAAAAATGCAAACAGTGTGCGTAATGATGTAAGAGTGAGTAAACCACTGGTTGACAGCACATTGCATGACCAGTGTCATGACTAGGCTCACTCGGAACGAGATTTAATGGTCGCATAATAAGCTGGCTTCCTTGTCTCTTTGTCCTTACTCACAAACTTTATTGTTTTGCTTTTCATCAAAATCCTTAATAAAATGTCTGGCTAATATTATAATAATAACAATATTAACCAGAAGAATTAGACACAATACCGTGGGTGAAACAATTCACAATTAACCTGGACTTTACAGAGATGACTTGCGACTCGACAACAGTCCAGGAACGGACCGAAACGTCGTAATATATCTCTTTTTAAGCGCTGGTCATTTGCGGATATCAATTAGCGTGGCACTGCGCGGGATAGTCCAGTCAAGTTAAGCGCTACTGTGTCTGGTTAATAATTAGATGGGTGACCACAGGCTCCCTGTACCAAACAGATAATATCATACACAAATAACCGGCACATAGGAGAAAGAAACTTTTGACGACGTTTCGGTCGGACTTAGACCATTAACTAGTGTGACTAATTTCTTTTTCCCATGTATGAATTACTTGTGTATTGTTCCAGTTACGATATTGCTCCTGATTATTCTTTAGAGAACATCTTACAAATTTTTAAATATTTGCATCTTCAGTTCGTTTGTCGTCACAATTTAAGGAAAAAAATAAAAACTTCTTATAATATATATATATATATATATAAAATATATATATATATATATATATATATATATATATATATATATATATATACACACACACAAACACTGATCTCTGGCTGAAGGAGACTCGAACCTACGAACCTTGGAATAAGGTACGTAGATGAGATGAAAAGCTGTAAGCCTTCTCCCTGAAAGCTGGCTGCCTTGGATCAAAGTCTAGCGCAAGCTGGACTCCAAGGTATTGGTCCAGTGTGGTGAGTTTGGTATAGCACTGCGTACCTTGTTCCAAGATTCGTAGGTTCGAGTGTCCTTCAGCCAGAGATCAGTGTTTGTGTATATTTCGCCTGCTCTTGCGAATTCCTTGCACACACACACACACCACACAACACACACACACACACACACACACACACACACACACACACACACACACACACACACACACACACATATATATATATAATATATAATATTATAATATATATATAATATATATATATATATATATATGTGTGTGTGTGTGTGTGTGTGTGTGTGTGTGTAGGGAAGTACCATCCTTGGAACTGTTCTGGGGACCCTCATCCTCAGAGAAAGGAATAAACTTGCTTCAGGGAAAACTCAAGGTTCTCCCTGAAGCTGTTTGAAATTTTTTCTCCTACCACCCCCCATATTTTATACAGAAATTAATTTAAAGACAAAATATTTATTATTTTATTATCACACTGGCCGATTACAACCAAGGCAGGGTGGCCCGAAAAAGAAAAACTTTCACCATCATTCACTCCATCACTGTCTTGCCAGAAGGGTGCTTTAACACTACACTTTTTAAACTGCAACATTAACACCCCTCCTTCAGAGTGCAGGCACTGTACTTCCCATCTCCAGGACTCAAGTCCGGCCTGCCGGTTTCCCTGAACCCCTTTATAAATGTTACTTTGCTCACACTCCAACAGCACGTCAAGTATTAAAAACCATTTGTCTCCATTCACTCCTATCAAACCACGCTCACGCATGCCTGCTGGAAGTCCAAGCCCCTCGCACACAAAAACCTCCTTTACCCCCTCCCTCCAACCTTTCCTAGGCCGACCCTACCCCGCCTTCCTTCCACTACAGACTGATACACTCTTGAAGTTATTCTGTTTCGCTCCATTCTCTCCACATGTCCGAACCACCTCAACAACCCTTCCTCACCCCTCTGGACAACAGTTTTGGTAATCCCGCACCTCCTAACTTCCAAACTACGAATTCTCTGCATTATATTCACACCACACATTGCTCTCAGACATGACATCTCCACTGCCTCCAGCCTTCTCCTCGCTGCAACATTCATCACCCATGCTTCACACCCATATAAGAGCGTTGGTAAAACTATACTCTCATACATTCCCCTCTTTGCCTCCAAGGACAAAGTTCTTGGACAAAAATACAATAGGGAGTAGAACAACATAGATAACAACTCAGAGCTACATCTGGAATACTTCGTCGCTATGCGGTGGAATGTGCAGTTGAAGTATGTGCAGTATTCAGGTGTAGTATATGTGCAGTGTACAGGTGTAGTGTATGTGCTGTGTATAGGTGTAGTGTATATGTGCACTATACAGGTGTAGTGTATATGTGCACTATACAGGTGTAGTGTATATGTGCACTATACAGGTGTAGTGTATATGTGCACTATACAGGTGTAGTGTATATGTGCACTATACAGGTGTAGTGTGTATGTGCAGTGTAGAGGTGTAGTCTAAATGCGCAGTGTGCAGGTTTAGTGTGTACAGGTGACATGTAGGATTTGGAGATGCGAGCATATTGATTCATACTGTACCTTGCCGCTGTTTCATGTAATCCTTTGAGTAATCGCTTCTAATACATGGTGTGCTGGTCTTCCTCACTCCTTACATTCCACACCTGCTACCGCTATCGTTAGTGTGGCCCATGGAGCAAGTGTGGCCACTGAACGAGGTATACCTGAAGGGTGTTCCGAGGGTTATAAACCCCGGAGTCCGGTCCATGACCAGGCCTCATGGTGAATCAGGACCTGATCAGACTGTTACTGCCGGTCGCAGGTAAATCAACGGTAGATACATCCATTGACTAACCACGGGAAAGCATGCGCTACCGGCAAAGACAGACACACATACACACAGGTGAGTACACATAGCTAGGAGCTGTGAATCGACCCCTGTAACCACATAGGTGAGTACACACACACACACACACACACACACACACACACACACACACACACACACACACACACACACACACACACACACACACACACACACACAGGAGAGAGCGCCAAGGGACATAGGTGTCAGCTTAAGACACCACAGGGACAATAAGGAAAACTTTTTTTCAGTCTCGAGGTGGTTGTAAGTTGAACGAACTAAGTGGCACAAGTGAGCACAACTATATAAATAATACGGAAATATAATATAAAAATGGGACTATATTATTTGATCTCTAAATAAGTAAGGCATTACCGACAACTACTGCGCAGAAACAAACATGACAGTTACAACCAAATCATCAGTAGTACTACTACAACGGTAACAACAGTACACCAACACTATTACAACGGTAACAGTATAACAACAGTAACAACACTGCTATAACGGTAATATTATGAGAATTCCGACAGTAATATTACAACACCACAACGGTAATACTACGATAATTATTTTTTTTCAACAAGTCGGCCGTCTCCCACCGAGGCAGGGTGACCCAAAAAGAAAGAAAATCCCAAAAAAGAAAATACTTTCATCATCATTCAACACTTTCACTTCACTCATACATAATCACTGTCTTTGCAGAGGCGCTCAGATACGACAGTTCAGTAGTCCCTCCAATTGCCAATATCCCAAACCTCTCCTTTAAAGTGCAGGCATTGTACTTACCATTTCCAGGACTACAACAACAATGACGTTGACCTCTGAGAGGCCCCGTTATCCCACCCAGTTGGCTGTTTACCTAAGACGTCATCCATGGTTTTATCTTGCTTGCCCCTGATATCCGAGGCAGTGAGTGCTAGTGATGGATGGTGGTGGTGGTGATGATGGTGATGGTGGTGGTGGTGGTGGTGGTGGTGGTGGTGGTGGTGGTGGTGGTGGTGGTGGTGGTGGTGGTGGTGGTGGTTGGGGCAAAGGGATGGTTTTTTTTAATTCAACAGACTGGATCCAAATCTCGTACTGCCAACATTAGAGGAGAAAAGATGCTGCAGAACAAGCCTTTATTGGATGAACGTTTCGCTCTGTGTAGAGCTTCATTAGGATTATCAGCTGTTACTACTCTATAAAAACTGCAATAGCTTCAATGTGGAGACTGGGCGGTGGGAATGGTGAGGTTAGATGGATGGTGAGTAATCTGGTGGGGGGGGGGGGCTAATTCTTCGTGGGTAATGGGATACTGATTCGGAACTCCTGGTGAGTTAGGTCTATATATATATAAATTATATTTGTTACAATAAATGAATGAAGAGAGATGGGTGGAGATGATGGAAACCCCAGGAAGCAGCTACTGGACAGGTTTAACAGTGATGTCATATGCACTCTTGCCTTGGTCATGGTCTGTGGTGGGAGTGTCCTGTGGTGGGAGTGTCCTGTGGTGAGCGATTACGCTGCGTGACAGACGGAAGCTGGGGCAGATGGGATGGCAGGCAGGATGATAGACGGGATGCGAGACAAGGAAGGCAGGGTGATGGAAACGAGATGGGAGTCAGAATGGGAGGCAGAGTTAGGGAAAAGGGATGGGGGGCACGGTGAGCTTGCCCACTTAATGTCAGTTGTTATGATGATTATAATAGCGGAAGGAACCACAATAATAATAGTACATAATACTAGTCACTATACAATACCTGAGAGAATCAGTGTGTATATAAAATAAAGATGAGCGTCAATCTGGAATGAACGTGTATATGTACAAGATTGTGGAAGGCGATATAATTACAGCAAGATGCAAAAGGCGATATAATACAGCAGTATGCTAAAGGCGATATAATACAGCATGTAGCTAGCCATCTTGATGCAACCATACTGACCTTCCTATGGACCAGCAAGGCTCGAAACACAATAACTAACTGCTCTGACAACCTTCCGTAAAGCTAGTAGTTTATTTCAAGCAGTTTCATCTCTTTCCAAACATTAAGCAGCCTACCGTAACGGGAAGACGAGAGCCCTTCCTGCTGGTGGAGCAGACGCAGTTCTTGTTGTAGTTGTATCTGCGGTTGATGGTAGAGGTGAGGGAGCGCAGCTCAGTGCGGAAGTCCTGGCGCTGTTTCTTAACTTCTGCCATGAGTGCCTGGATCTCCTTCAGCAGCGTCGAGTACTCCTGGTTCGCTTCCTTGTTTACGTCCACCGCCATGTTGGAGATACTGGCTGCGTCCACAGGGTGTTACTAGCATCGTGGTCTCCTTTAATCCCCCCACCCCCAGGGCCTTACTTTATCATCCATATGAACCAATACATTGCATCATAAGTCAATCATATGTGACTAAACATAATATACACGATATATGAAGCTAACCTGATCTGTAGATCTTCCTCTTGTTGCGACGGTTTCGCCTGGAAGTGGTGGGGTTGTTGTGGCGACCGGTATCGCTTGCAACGGTATCGCTTGCGACGGTGTCACAAGACTCAGCGATGCAACACTCACCTCTAAACCTCACTCTTTGACCCACGGATGACGAGCGTACTTTTCGTCCGTCTCTTGAGCGTAAGACGGAAGTAAGCAGCTGTTCATCCGAAACGTTTTTGTCCTCCGAACTTGTTGCGTTGAGGGAGTCAGCAGATGGTGACCCAATACCCGAGTCTTGCAACGACTTCACATCCTGAGTGGCATCTGCTTTTTCATCAGACACACAGTCTCCATCTCCACCAGTGTTAGCAGCGGGATCTCTTGATGTAACCTCTTGCGACTCTGGAGTTTCTTCTGGGTTTTGGATAAATATCTCAAGCTCAATGTCTATGTTGTCGGTCTGAGAGTGAAAATCAGGAGACCCGCCATCTCTATTTATTTCTACTGTCGTCCATCCTACACTTTTCCTTACTGGTGACGCCTCAACAGAATCTGGTGACTTTACCGACGGCGGAGACACTGTGTGATGGTCACTGCGAACGCTGAGCTGTGACTTCCTGCCGCTACTAGGATGATCAGCACCTCCGTCACAACTTGGGTCTGTGACACCTGGTATTACCTGTTCACCCTCACATCTAAGTGAAGCTCTACTCTCATTCTTAATACACGTTCCTTCATCCTTCCTCGGTGAGAGGCTGTTTTCCTCCCAGAGTAACTTGTTTTGCCCCGAAAATGAGACTTCTTCTCCCTCCTTGGTGGCCCTGGGTGTCCTCTGCTCTACGGTTTCATCTTCACGGGCGCCGTCCAATAAAAACTGCTGACTCTGTAGGTGCCGAGTTTCCCATACACTGGTTTGAGGTGGTGCGTAAATATCGTCCCCGGTACCAGAGCTCCGTGTAGTGCTCACCCGGGGCGCAGCAAGCTTCCTCGGGGACACCGGAGACCCGCCAAGGGAGCCGATGCCGTCATCGGTGTGGCCAACATCGAGAGTGTCAACCCCTGGGAAGTGTGCCTTAGCTGGGGACCCTCTAGTGGGCACCTGCAAGTCTCCCTCGAAGTCTCTCAGGCGCGTGCTGCGACTGATGGCACTAATGATGTCGGATCTCACCGATTTGGCACTGGACGTCATCTTTCCCTTCGTCTACATGCTCTGCAGCGCCCATGTTTGGTATAGTTAATAAATGACAAGAAAATGTAAAGTAATTATTATATGTACAGAGGCAATATTACTAGTGCAAAACGCGTACACAAGACACGTCACTACCAGTCGACAGCGCTGAGGTAACTGCGGTAGGAATCACACATGGAAAACACTTTTCAACACATCAATACATCCCCCCCCACAAGCCAAGATACCATCTTTACTGCCAATTATATACAACTACGTATATTTGAGGCCATATATGAGTTATGCATTGTACCTGACCAGGTCCCCCTCACTCCCCTCAGAACGACCGAGCAGGGGGGAGATCTTCACTGATACCGTCGAGGTCGGAGGTGTAAGGTAGTATTGTCCCTTGAGACTAAGAAGCTGATCGCATGATAAACACGAGAGCTTTCTGTAGCCTTCAAGTGCCTCCTTGATCACTACCTTCCCCTCTTTCCGCACGAACACAACTGCTCTCGGTCGCTTCTAAGCAGGATTCCCAGGTGGAGCAGCAGGTGGAGGCGGGCATGCACGGTCACGTCCCTGCTGCCACTGCTTCACACGCCTTCCCGCCCACTGCTCGCTACACACCCCACGCCAACACTCATGCAATACACCTATTTCGAGTTAATCGCACCAACTTGACCCCTGACATAAGAGGCACATCAAGCTGTTGTATTCCTGGATCGAGACGTCTTTTTTATGGAAGACCACCAGGCTGGTTAGTAATTAGCTGGCAGGTTGAGTAACGAATTGTTTGGTCAAGTGACCGACTATTTTGTTGAGTGGCTGATTCTTTGGTTGAGTGACTGAATGGTTGAATGACTGTTTGGCTGAGATCGACTGCTTGGTTCATTGACCAACTGTCTGGTTAAATGACTGTTTGGTTCAGTGACTGACTGGTTGATTTATTAAATATTTGAGTGACCGACCGTGTTGTTGGTAGAGTGCCTGGTTGACTGTTTGGTTGAGTGACTGGTTGATTGTCTGCCTACCTGGCTAACGAGCCATGAATGTATATATATATATATATATATATATAAATATATATATATATATATATATATATATATATATATATATATATATATTATATTATATATATATATATGCAAAACAACCACTCTGAAAGAATAGAGAAATTCCAAGCGCTTTCGTGACTACTCACATTATCAAGGAACTATGAAAGTAAAGCATCCAAGGAAGCTATATAAGGGGTCCGGCCAGCACCTCACTATCAGATCCCACAACGGTTAAACACGTGACGCGCGGCGACCCAACTTGGATAGGTCCCTTGCACAACTCACCCCCAAGCTATTCTACCCAAGAAAATTTAAAAATTATTATTTGTCCAGTGTATTATTAAATTCTTCCCAAATTCTATTAATTATAAATGGATCTAATTTATATAAACCAAAGGAAATATTCATATTATTGTCAAAACTGCTTTTTATGAAACAATAATATGAATATTTCCCTTTTGGGTTTTTATATAAATTAGATCCATTTATAATTAATAGAATTTGGGAAGAATTTAATAATACACTGGACAAATAATAATTTTTAAATTTTCTTGGGTAGAATAGCTTGGGGGTGAGTTGTGCAAGGGACCTATCCAAGTTGGGTCGCCGCGCGTCACGTGTTTAACCGTTGTGGGATCTGATAGTGAGGTGCTGGCCGGACCCCTTATATAGCTTCCTTGGATGCTTTACTTTCATAGTTCCTTGATAATGTGAGTAGTCACGAAAGCGCTTGGAATTTCTCTATTCTTTCAGAATGGTTGTTTTGCATATTTTGAAATCACCTGTTTACTGTGATCTTATTGCATATATATATATATATATATATGTAATATATATATATATATTATATATATATATTTTATATATATATAATATATATATATTTTATATATACATGGTAATATTTTCTTCTTTTTGTTGGGGAGTGGGGGGACCCTGCCTCTGTGGGAGACAGCCAACGTGTTGTGTGTGTGTACTCACCTAACTGTGGTTGCAGGGGTCGAATCATAGCTCCTGGCCCCGCCTCTTCACTGGCCGCTACTGGGTCATTCTCCCTTCACCATGAGCTTTATCATACCTCTGCTTAAAGCTATGTATGGATCCTGCCTCACTACATCGCTTCCCAAATTATTCCACTTCCTGACTAATCTGTGACAGAAGAAATACTTCCTAACATCCCTGTGATTTATCAGTGTCTTCAACTTCCAACTGTGTCCCCTTGTTGCTGTGTCCCATCTCTGGAACATCATGTGTATGTCCACCTTGTCAATTCCTCTCACTCTCATGTCCCCCCCCCCCTATCTCTCCTGTCCTCCAGTGTCGTCAGGTCGATTTCCCTTAACCTCTCCTCGTAGGACAGACCCCTTAGCACTGGGACTAGTCTTGCTGCAAACTTTTGCACTTTCTCTAGTTTCTTTACGTGCTTGGCTAGATGTGGGTTCCAAACTGGTGCCGCATAATCCAATATGGGCCTAACGTACACAGTGTACAGGGTCCTGAAAGATTCCTTATTAAGATGGCGGAATGCTGTTCTTAGGTTTGCTAGGCGCCCGTATGCTGCAGCAGTTATTTGGTTGATGTGCGCCTTAGGAGATGTGCCTGGTGTTATACTCACCCCCAGGTCTTTTTCCTTGAGTGAGGTTTGTAGTTTCTGGCCCCCTAGGCTGTACTCCGTCTGAGGTCTTCTTTGCCCTTCCCCAATCTTCATGACTTTGCACTTGGTGGGGCTGAACTCCAGGAGCCAATTGCTGGACCAGGCCTGCAGCCTGTCCAGATTCCTTTGTAGTTCTGCCTGGTCCTCGTCCGATTGAATTCTCATCAACTTCACATCATCTGCAAACAGGGACACTTCGGAGTCTATTCCTTCAGTCCTGTCGTTCACAAATACCAGAAACAGCACCGTGTGTGTGTGTGTGTACTCACCTATTTGTACTCACCTATTTGTGGTTGCAGGGGTCGAGTCACAGCTCCTGGCCCCGCCTCTTCGCTGATTGCTACTAGGTCCTCTCTCTCCCTGCCCCATGAGCTCTATCATACCTCGCCTTAAAACTATGTATGGTTCCTGCCTCCACCACATCACTTTCTAGGCTATTCCATGGCCTGACTACTCTATGACTGAAGAAATACTTCCTAACATCCCTTTGATTCATCTGAGTCTTCAACTTCCAATTGTGACCTCTTGTGTCTGTGTCCCATCTCTGGAACATCCCGTCTTTGTCCACCTCGTCTATTCCGCGCAGTATTTTATATGTCGTTATCATGTCTCCCCTGACCTCCTGGCCTCCAGTGTCGTCAGGCCGATTTCCCTCAACCTTTCTTCATAGGACAATCCCCGTAGCTCTGGGACTAGTCTTGTTGCAAACCTTTGCACTTTCTCTAATTTCTTGACGTGCTTGACTAGGTGTGGATTCCAAACTGGTGCTGCATACTCCAGTATGGGCCTGACGTAGATGGTGTACAGAGTCTTAAACGAATCCTTACTGAGGTATCGGAACGCTATCCGTAGGTTTGCCAGGCGCCCGTATGCTGCAGCAGTTATCTGATTGATGTGCGCCTCAGGAGATATGCTCGGTGTTATACTCACCCCCAGATCTTTTTCCTTTAGTGAGGTTTGCAGTCTTTGGCCATCTAAACTATATTGTGTCTGCGGTCTTCTTTGCCCTTCCCCAATCTTCATGACTTTGCATTTGGCAGGGTTAAATTCAAGGAGCCAGTTGCTGGACCAGGCTTGTAGCCTGTCCAGATCTCTTTGTAGTCCTGCCTGATCCTCGTCCGATTCGATTCTTCTCATTAACTTCACATCGTCTGCAAACAAGGACACTTCTGAGTCTATCCCTTCCGTTATGTCGTTCACGTATACCAAGAACAGCACAGGTCCTAGGACTGACCCCTGTGGAACCCCGCTTGTCACAGGCGCCCACTCTGACACCTCGTCGCGTACCATGACTCGTTGTTTCTCCCTGTCAGATATTCTCTGATCCATTGCAGTGCCTTTCCTGTTATGTGTGCCTGGTCTCTAGCTTTTGCAGTAACCTCTTGTGAGGAACTGTGTCGAAAGCCTTCTTGCAGTCCAAAAAAACGCAGTCGATCCACCCCTCTCTCTCTTGTCTTACTTCTGTCACCTTGTCATAAAACTCTAGTAGGTTTGTGACACAGGATTTTCCTTCCCTGAAACCGTGCTGGTTGTCAATTATACACTTGTTTCTTTCCAGGTGCCCCACCACTCTCCTCCTGATGATCTTCTCCATGACCTTGCATACTATACACGTTAGAGATACAGGTCTGTAGTTTAGTGCCTCATGTCTGTCTCCTTTTTTAAAAATTAGGACTACATTTGCCATTTTCCATACCTCAGGGAGTTGCCCAGTTTCAAATGATGTGTTGAAGATCTTTGTTAATGGCTCACACAATATCTCTGCTCCCTCTTTAAGGACCCATGGAGAGATGTTATCTGGTCCCACCGCCTTTGAGGTGTCAAGTTCGCATAGCAGCTTCTTCACCTCCTCCTTGGTTATATGTACCTCATCCAGCACTTGCTGGTGTGCCCCCCTGTTCTGATTTCTTGGAGTCCTACTGGTTTCCACTGTCTCCCTCCCTCAACGTATCCACCTTTCATGTTTCTTTGGTATGACACATAACCTGAACTATCACACATAACGAGACCTCCCACGCCATAATATAACAACCTGTTACACTGTAGCTTGACATCTTACACCACGACCTTGTTCTGGCTGGAGATGAGTTACAGCTCGTGGGTTCAGCTATTAACTACATGCAACCAGCTTATTAATTTAATGTCTGGTGAGTCCTTTCGTACCTATCATGGAAAATATAGTGAAGCAACATCAGAATATCCTGGACACTTGTCAATAACAGGAATCATGGAAGTAACGAAAGCCAACACTAGGCACAGTACCAGGAGTCAAAGAAGCAACCAGGGGTCAAGGAAGTAATGGATGCAAACACTATAAACAGTAACAG